ATCAAGCATCACAATGTAGGCTAGGATAGTGTCCCGATCTGCCAACCCCTTGGGTGGTGGGTCCAGACTCTCCTGCCTCTGCACAGATACCTGAACCAGGAAAACTCCAACGCTGACAGGAAACCAGCCAACTTGGCTGGTTACCGGTGAACCTACCTTAGCCCATCAGACAGGAGGAGAGACCCATGAAGCAGGCGACAGCAGCAAGAGGAAATGGCCCATGCCCAACAGAGCTGGCTTCCAGCAAAGACAGAGAGAGTTGTGGAAAATGCTGAAGCACCAGTCAGTGGCAGGGTGAGGGAAGGGTACAGCCAGGGCCGAGGCTAGCCCAGGTCGGGCTGAGGCCTTGGTCTCCAACTACCCCCACCTGCAAGTGGGCCACGGCAACAGGGAAAGGGGGTGGGACTGACGGGTACGGGGAGATCTATAAAACAGGTTTCAGTGATGGCTGAGTAGGAGTTGACAGAGAAAGGTTTGAGTTGCCAATGGGCAAGAACAAGCTGGGGCAGTGAGAGAAACAGACCATGGTGGAGCACAGGTGGAGGCGGAACTGGGTGAAGTAACCCCCCTCCATGATCCAAGTCATCTGAGGCCAGAGGAACATCTCTGGGACTTGGGGTGAATTCGGAGATAAGGGCATTGTGGAGGAGGGTGGACCTCCAAACATTGACAGATAGCAACTTTTTAGAAGCCAGAGAAAGGCCATTTGCCCCAAATTTAAATGCTTTTGGGACGTGGGGTTTTCCCCCTGCTTCTCTGCAGCATCAAGCTGCATTTGTGTACCTCATGGTGTTTCCCCAACTTTTCACTGCTCTTTCTGAAACCACATTAAAGCCTGGATGGCTACTGTGTGGGTGGGAAAATTCAGATTTTCTCATCCACATGGCAGCTATTTTCCCTGACCATGTTACTTCAGAAGCCATTTCCTCCCCCTGTCCCAGCAGCAGCCACCACCCACTCCTTGTGCTGCCAGGGTTTTTGCACTTAAAAAAAAAATCAGCACTAGAATATTGTTATATCAATGTTAGGCTTGCCAAGTCCCCCCAGGGGGCGGGGAAAACCCCGCCCCAGAGGCCCGTTCCCTGCCACCACTGGATCGAGCCCCGGGGGGAACTCCACCCCAACGTGCACGTCACCAGGAAGTGACACGACCGTGCTGGGCACGCTGGGGGCGGGGCCACGGTCATCTGAGGGAAAACTCTATGATTTTCCCTCGGATGGTCATGGCCCCGCCCCCAGCGTGCCCGGCGTGGTCGCGTCACTTCCTGGTGACGTGGATGCGGCGCGCGTGCTCCAGGATCGACCCAGGAGTCCCCCACTTCAGGACAAGGTACGACTTGGCAACCCTACAATATGTTATTATACAGTACTTTTAGATTTCAGATTTTTCTGAAAACTTGGGGTCCTTCTCAGGTTTGTAGGAAGTTCTGTCTTGCCCATTCACAGTGCCACTCACTGGATTTAAGTGTCTTCAGATCTGGCCAACTTTGCTATTAGTATATAGATCATGTAAATTATAAGGTATATTTACAATTTTAGTTGTAGGAATTTATAGTTTTAAATTCCAGGAATGTGCTGAACAGTTTAGTTTTATATTATAAATGATAAATTATTCATTTTATGTGGTTAATGCAATTAAATATAAAAATCACATGAACATCTTCTTTCAAAATCAGCGGCATGCAGCTAACCTTTATGTTTCCCCTTTTTCTCCTTCCTGGTGTTGCCAGTTTGACAGCCTCCCGTAGCTGCCTTGGTTTTTTTAGTTGGTTTTGGAGCTTGTGAGTCTGCTACCACTTTTACATCTTCTTGCTCAGCATCCTGTACTGCTCGAGAGATTCAGGACACCCCAACCAAAAAAAAGAAGAGATAAAGAAAACAAGAGAAAAAAACAAGGAAGAGAAGAAATCAGAAATCTATGAAGCCACAGTGAAGCAAGCAAGCAAAGCAGAATGTAAGGTGCATGTGTCAGATAGTACAGAAAGAAAACTGTAGGACAAAAGGTTGCAGATTGATAATGTAAATGTACACTGTTAAATGCTGGTTTTGGTGTTCTGATCTTCAGGCTTTCTGAATCCGTGAAGCAGCCTGAGACTGATTTCTCACTAGAGCCGTGTCGCTGTTGTGCCGCCCTTTGCCCCATTTCTATTAGTCAATTTCACACCCAAAGCCGCGCAGCTGCATTTTGACCCACGACTTCACCCGATTTCCTCCGCGGTTTCGTGATCCTCAAAAAAACAGGGTCACGAAACCGAGGAAGGAATCGGGCGAAGCTGCGGGTCAAAATGCCGCCGCACGGCTTTGGGTGTGAAATTGACTAATAGAAACGGGGCAAAGGGCGGCGCAACAGCGACGCAGCTCTAGTGAGAAATCGGTCTGACTGTTTCTACTCAGCTATGTCCCAGGGCATCATAGTGCAGATAACAAAGTCTGTACCTGGTCCCCTGTGAAGTCCTCACTGAGAGTTCAGTTCTAGGTTCCTCTACAAATAAACCACTTTCAAAAAATATTTTCTAGCAATGTTCCTACCAATGTGTGGAGAGACTCTGCAAGGAACATTGTCAAAACTGCAAACTGCAGCACTTACCTGAAAGTCAATTTATTTATTTGCAGGCATGCCAGCATGACCCTTCAAGCATCAAGCTGACGTTCCTACCAGCAACTAAATACACTGGTAACTACCGCACCATCTTGCTCCCAAAATAGCAGATCTACCCACAAATAAGTTGCTTTTGGTTGCTCCTGATCATCCCCTGTCATTTATTGCTCTTATGCTGGTTTTCTTTGCACATATATTTAACAACTATGCAATGAAGAAGTCAGGAACAAAGGAGGGATTATTCAACCAACCAACCAACCAACCCCCACCCCAAATGCAACACAAGAGTTTTTGTTTTGACACTGCAGGAGACAACGTTTGCAGCTAACCAGCATGAATCTGTAAAGGAAATGACACTGACATTGGGTTCACTTGAAGCACATACATACATTTCTGGAACAGATCTTTTCTAGAAAACTATACAATATAAAACAGTAATGGCCTGCGCCCCTAAATCTTAATGGCAATTACAGAGATCAGAGTTTCTGCAGATGAACAAAATGAATTCCACAATAACTTCCTCCTTGCTTTTAAAGCAAGATTAGCAATCTAATCATAAAAAAATTAGAATTCAGTAGATTCACTCAAATGCTCAAAAAGGGTGTCTTTCTGATGGCCATTCAGGCGCTCTACTTCGATCCTACAGCACGGTTACTGGTTAATAGTAAATTCTCTCACAAAATTCATCTACAAAGGGGAACTAGGCAAGGTTGCCCTCTATCACCTCTTGTATTTGTTTTGGCCATAGAGCCATTGGCAGAAGCTATCCGGAAGAATCCAAATATCAAAGGCATCGATGTAGGAACTTGGACACACAAGATTGATCTTTATGCGGATGATCTTACGCTCTACTTAATGAACCCAGTTTCATCTCTTCACAATGTGCAAAGTATCACCTCCGAATTTACCTGCATCTCCGGACTTAAATTTAGTCAGAAAAAATCGGAAATCTATCCCATTAACCTGGAGCACTACACCAGACTCGTGATAAAGAAAGCATTTCCATTCAACTGGACAAAATCATCTTGGCGACATCTAGGAGCCTATATCCCCACAGATATCTCAAAGTTACTGGATCAGAACTTTAAACAAATTCATGCAGAAACTACAACACAAATGACTAAGTGGAATTCATTAAACCCTTCCTGGCTAGATCAAATAGCCCTTATAAAAAGCTTCATACTCCCCAAATACCTCTTTTTGTTTCGAACAATTCCAATAGAAATCCCAATCCGGGAATTAAAATCATGGCAGAAAAGCATAAACCAGTTCTTATGGGGGTACAAGAAACCCTGTGTTAATTTTGCTACACTACGAAGAATGTCACAACGAGGAGGAATTGACCTACCCATTCACAGCTCATATTATGAAGCTTCTAATCTAGCTGCTCTACTTCACGCTCTTTCATCACCACAACTGGAGTGGGTCCAAATTGAAAGTCACTACTTATTCCCTCATACTTTATTGGACACCTTTTGGAATCCATCCCTGGCAACAAGATCATAAATACCTAACAAATACCCTCAATATATGTCACAAATACAAAAATAAGCTAGCCCCCCCCCAACCTCTCTGCAGTCCTCCTTTCTAAACCAATCATGGTTCCCACCCGGCCAAGAAGGTGCTGTATATTATCCCTGGAGAACTGCTGGAGCTGTACATATTGCAGACCTACAGCATAAGAATAATTTTCTGGAAAAGGCACAGCTAGAAAAGAAAATAAGAAAATAATGCGGTTCCAATATTTACAGAATCTTTGCATATTACAGAAGCAATTACTAGACCACAGACAGGCTTTGAACAAGTCCTGGAAAAACTGTTTACACACCCTGTTTACTCTCAAAAATATATAAACTTTTGAATGCATTGGATGGAGGGAAACCACTTAAGCACCAAAAACTATGGAGCCGAGACTGTGAAAACCAATTAAAAGAAGATTGGGACCGTATATGAACCTCTCCAAACCTATCTTCAGTGATTTTTAATATCCGTTTTCAGACTATAAAGACTCTTCTGAGATGGTATATACCCCCAGCTACTCTGCATCACATGAAAGAAGACATAGATCTGCTTTGCACCAAAAACTGTGGCCAGAAAGCAGATTACCGTATATCCACTGCTGGTGGTCATGCCCTTATACACAATCCTTCTGGTCACAAGTCAAACATCACATAAAGTTAATTACAAAAGTAAACCTACCTCTTCTACCAGAAACTTTTCTTTTGAACAACTGGCCAGACCTTCATGGAAACAAAAGTAAGACCGGACTAATTCACACTTTACTAGCTGTAGCACAAACCGCAATAGCTGCTAACTGGCTTGATAAGTCTCCACCTACTATAGAATCCTGGCAAGATCATTTATGGAACTGTTTAATCAAGAGCAAGATCTCACTCCACACCTCAAATACACCCTCACATAAATCAGAACACATTCATTGCGACTTGGTATCCACTCATTACTTACATGGCTGAGGCTGGAGTAATCCCAAAAAAATCCTCTTTATAGACAGATGATTTATTTTTGAACTGAATCTAACCTATAGTAATTTACACTCCTTAGACCTGGTATTCAAATCATCAGAACAATGCTCCTAGTTGTTTATGGAACAAAGTTTAAAAACCAGTAAACTAGACTTAATTCTAGACAATTTTAGTATTATTAGTACTGTTGAATGGTTTGTGGATATTTCTTTTTGAGTTATTTCAGGTACATTATGTTCTGATAGTGGGTTATACTTATTTCAAAACAGTGTACTTAGTTATAATACTATGCTTCTGTATTATACAGAAATACTTATATGTACTATGTAAGCTATTTGATTGCAATAAGTTTGATCCTTCTGTAACTGTTTAATGCTTTTATAAAATAAAATATAAATTAAAAGGGTGTCTTTTTATAGAAATAAGATCTATATGGGACAGAGTCTTAAGTAACGAACATGCATATTTTCAAGTTCACTTAATTATCTAGATAGTTCCAAAGGTACAACAAGGACTACTTAGAACCCATAGAAAAAGTTCAAGAAATGACTGAAACTGATTTCCCACAAGCAGCTGCACTGCCCTCGCTCTTCCCTTCCCAATTGTATTTGTCAATTTCCCACTACTTGCTGCGCGGACACATTTTGACCTGCAGCATCCCCCAATTTTCCCTGCATCTTCTCGATCTCAAAAAACAAGGATCTAGAAGACGCGAGGGAATTTTTAAGCAATTGTTTCTTATTATATTCTAAATGTTCACAATGTATTCTGTCATTATTACAGGGCAGTAGTGCAGCTTTTTGGAAACCTAATGTTGCTGCTTTTATCAGGTTTAATATCTCCATTACTGATGGTGTAGATAGCAACTAAAATGTGTGTGTCTCAGTCATAGCATAAATTCATGTGGATTTTTTAAATCTTCTGCTTGACAAGGTCACAACTGCTGAATGATTTTCCATTTCTTTGTAACCAATTCGTCAAACTGCAGTTGATAATAATAGTTATTTTACCTTCAGGCTAATGCTAGTTAAATAAATTTCTGATATCACAGGAAAGAAAATGGCAGGCAGTGAAGGAGCTTATCTGGTGTGACTTTTAGAAGGGATTTATGGTGGTGGTGATGGTGATGATCTCTGAATATGAAACAGACCAAGCACTGAAATCCAGTATGCAAGAGATATCAGAGAAAATGATGCATCTAGGAACACCAAAGTCTATGAAACTGAGTTATCTGATAGGCTAAAAACTGATTGCTAGCAGATGCTACAATCCATACCATGTCACAGAACCTATCAGTCACCATTATTATAGTACTGATTATATTACTGATGTGGCCTTACTCTGGAAATGCATGACCTAAATTGGATTAAACTACAGAAAACTCAATGTCTTTCAATGCCTCCCATCAAATTTCTTTGTCTTGTCCAGCACATATTTCATTATATACTTCTTAGCAAGCTGGTGGATGTGTCATCTTGCAGGACCTCACAAAGGAAGTCCTGAGAAGACCATCTTTTTTCATCCTTTTTGCCCGAACAGAGACTGATTTTCCACAAGCAGCTGCGCTGCCCTCGCTCTTCTCTTTCCCCCGATTGTATTCGTCAATTTCCCACTACTTGCTGCACGGCCGCATTTTGACCTGCAGCATCCCCCGATTTTCCCTGCATCTTCTCGATCTCAAAAAAAAAGAGTGCCTAGATTTTACAACTGCTGCAGAATGCTGCAGCCAGAATTCTGACTAGAG